AGGAAGAAGGGTCTAGGCCCGAAACATCAGCCTTCCTGCTCCTCTGATGCTGCTTGGACAGCTGTGTTCATCCAGCTCTATACCTTGTTATCTTAGTTAATATTACTGTCAGATTTGCTGAAATAAAAACAAATTGCTGGCAAAACTCAGCAGATCTTCTCATGAAAAGTCACCAAAATCAAAATGTTAACTCTGCTTTCCTCCCACAGGTGCTGCCACATCTGCTCAGTTTTGCCAGAAATTTCTGTTTTTGGTTCAGATCTCCAGCATCAGCACTTCCTTGTTTTATGTCAGAATTGCTGAGTTGTAGTAACTATTTATAGTTCATAGTTCAGCAGCTTGTTCCTTCAAAGTCCAATCCAAGACCTTAAGGCCCTGATTAACCAATGCCAAAATGATCATAGATGCTGAGAGAGATAGTAGGAACTGCAGATGCTGGAGAATCCGAAACAACAAGGTGCAGAGCTGGATGAACATAGGAGCAGAAAGGCTGACGTTTCGGGCCTAGACCCTTCATCAGAAATGGGGGAGGGGAAGGGGGTTCTGAAATAAATAGGGAGAGAGGGGAAGGCGGATAGAAGATGGATAGAGGAGAGGATAGGTGGAGAGGAAACAGACAGGTCGAAGAGGCGGGGATGGAGCCAGTAAAGGTGAGTGTAGGTGGGGAGTTAGGGAGGGGATAGGTCAGTCCAGGGAGGACGGACAGGTCAAGGGGGCGGGATGAGGCTAGTAGGTAGGAGATGGGGGTGCGGCTTGAGGTGGGAGGAGGGGATAGGTGGGAGGAAGAACAGGTTAGGGAGGCGGGGACGAGCTGGACTGGTTTTGGGATGCGGTAGGGGGAGGGGAGATTTTGAAGCTTGATCATAGATGCTATTCTTTTCACTTTACTGATGCTGTCTCATTGTTTAGATACTGGTCAAAGAGTCAATGGCATAGGTCTGGTCACATTTCCTTCAAAACAGATGATCTAGTTTTTCTGTAATTACTCGTTAAAAAGGCTGGAAAAGAGAAAATGGAGGATTACAGATGTTTTATTTTGATATCAGTAGGGGACTAAATATTGGAATCTAATATAAAGAATGTGATAAGGGGACACTTGGAACATTTCCCTGAGGTAAGATTGGGAAGAATGAACACGAAAGGGAAATCATGTTTGAAAACCCCATTTGAGTTTTTTGGGGATGTTACTATTAGAGATGTTACATAAAGGAGAAGCAATGGATGTGATATGTTTGGATTTTCAAAAGCTTTTGATAAGTCCCACTCAAGAGGTTAGTAAACAAAATTAGAGCACATGGGGTTAGAGGTAGTATTATGAATTGAGAATTGGTTACCAGACAAAAAAAACAGTAGAAATAAACATTCTCAGGACGGTAAGCTGTAATTTGTGGGATACTACAAGAAAGCTATTGAGTATGCTCAATGCAGAAGTCAGTAGACTTTCTGGATACTAATAATATCAATTAATGGAGTTAAGATAAATGATCAGCCATATTCTGAATGAATGGTACAGCAGGCTTAATGTGCAGTTTCTGGAAACTTGCTTAGTTCATTTCAGTTGCTATCAGTAGCACTTGTACATTGTATGAAGACAGATAGCAAAAGCACCCTCTGACTTTCATGGGAGGCCTTAAATTTTAAAATGTTTTCAGAGGTAGCCTAGAATATATCTTCAGAACTTTAGGAAATTCAAGTTTAATAAATGTAATTTTTTTCTCTCTTCTAGAACAACCTGCTGATTCTTGCTGTTTTAGCATTTGAAGTGACAATCTACCGTCATCAAGAGTACTTTAGGCTCCGCAATAACCTTCCACATCCAGTAACAAAAACAATCTTTCATGACATCACAAGGCAACACTTGGATAATGGACTGGTGAACTGTGCCAAGTATTTCATAAATTACTTCTTCTACAAGTTTGGGCTAGAGGTGTGCAGCATATGGATTTGAAATAAAATCTTATTTATATGCCTTAGTAATCAAAAATGTCCGAATAATATGCAAATAACAGTTAATTGAAAATATGAGTGTTCGGAACCACAAATAATATTTTTATTATTATTTATTGGGATGGCAGGGATTCCTGACAAGTCCCATTTGCTGGCTAACTGACACTACTATCAAGGTGTTCCCAGTGGGAACAGGTTTTTCTTAGGGTCATACCGCAGAGGTGCTTGGAGGTGGCTTGCCAATGGCTGAAATTTGATATTGAGGTCTCCCTTTCTAATTTGTGTCCTCATGCCAGAGGAGTCTCAGCAATCATTGGACAACACAGCCTGTAGAGGGTTTTACCCTTAAAGGAATTTGTGGTTGCTTCTAGTGGTCAAGTACCACTTCTAGAGGGAATTTTGCCCATCTCCTACAATGGTAGGAACAATCTTTCCAGATGACCTGCTGTGCTTCCAACATTGCAGGCTTTTTGATTTGGATTTTAAGTCTTACAAACCCAACACTGTCCTCAATTAGGAATAAAAACAGAAGTTGCTGAAAAGCTTAGCAGGTCTGGCAGCATCTGTGAAGAAAAAATCAGAGTTAAGGTTTCGGGTCCAGTGACCTTTCCTCAGAACTCTAAAAGCTTAGAGCCATGGTCTCCAGGTCACAGATTGTGATTGACTCATTGATCCAGTCCCAATACCAGACTTAATCTCTCATACTCATTCCGCATTCTGTTTAAGCTGTGCCTGTATGTTGATCATCATGCTGAATCATGATGTCCACTTCCAGAAGCCACTGCCGCAGTTGGAGGCCCTTGCAGAGCAAACAGAAATTAACAAACACCTGCTGTGCCCACGTCCAATATCTGAGTGACAGAAGCTGACCCAGGGCCCCAAAATCAAATTGCAGACACTGAAATGACCTGCTATGCCTCCATACTTGAGTGCAGCCAGCAACATTCCAGTTCAGAGGTGTGGATCCAGAGGCCTACCTGCAGTGTGACCAGTGGCAGAGTGTTATCACAAAACAACAAGATGAAGTGATGTAGGAGAAAGGGCTTCCAGATTTACATTTAAAACTCATAATTTGTTGCAAATGCACAATTTGTGTTTGAATTCAAACAATTTTAAAACTTGGTTTGCAAAAGCCTTTACATTTTGTTGTTTATTATGTGTGGTGCAGATCATGCAGAATGAGAAAATGAATTTCTGTTTACAACTGTAAAAGGTAACAGCGTTTGCCTTATGTCACCATAGTATTGTATATCAACAAGTTAAAAGAAGAATTTGGAATGACACCACACAGTGATGCACAGTAAATTCATGGATAGTTTTCTCTAGAACAGAAACAAAGCAAGTTGACAAGCCTCAGGCTGTTTTGAAAGTTCAACATTCATTTTTTTCCAGCAAACAAGCAAACTAGAACAAAGACTTCAAGGTATTAGCAGATAATGGGCAGTCACAGGTGTCACACTGAAACTTGGTGTTTAAAGGACAAAATTAGGAATTATTTATATTTGGTATTAGCTTTATATAGCACTAAAATAAACTGTTTATTCCATATTAACTTAGTGGTATATCCTGGGTTGCACTTAACTTCAAAAAGTGAAATTGTAGTGGGAGGTGGTGGTGTAATGATAACGTCACTAGGCAAGTAATATAAAATCACAGGCTAATGTTCAATGGTTCCAGCAGTGAGAAATTTCAGTTATGAGGATAGATTGAAAAAGTTAGGACTCTTCTCCTTGGAGAGAAGCTTAAGAGAAGATCTGACATTCGGTTGAAGAGCTGGCAAAGACACATTGGACCAAATGACCACCACCTCTGCCATACATTTCTGTGATTTTCCGTTTAAAAACAATTAAACGCCATTGGCCTAGAATAAAAAAGGAGGAGGTTATAACATCAGCTGGGATCATAGTACAGTTTTACGTGCCTTTTCCCCTCTAAGTTTTTATCTAATTCTTTGTTGAAAGTTTTTAATACTGAAGGTGGTAATGATAATGTTTTTCGCCCTTGTTTATTACACTTTGTAAACAAAACATCTCAAAATTAATGGTTGGAATTCACCTAAACTGGCAAACAATATGTGAATGACTCAAGGAAAAGCTGATTATCTTTTGGCAAAGAAGCAGAAGGTGAATTCACATTTCTAAAAAATATCGGAATTATCTTACACAGGATGTTGTTGACTCTTTTAAAATGTTGTGGATTGTCTCATCTGTTGTGAAGTAACTTGTCTCAGCTGTCAAAATGTGAAGAGTTTTCAGAGCAGATTGTTGGATGTGGATTGATCTGAAGCCTCCTTTGTGAGATAGAAGCTTGTAATAACAAGCTTTTCTTTTTATTTTCAACCTTGTAGTTAGATTATCAAACTGGCAGGAAAAGTCTCAGGAAAAGCAGTTTTATAAAAGCATTGTAATAACACTGAATGAACACAGCATGGGCATACTATGTTCCCTGTAATCTTTTTTTCCTGCTCCATGGACCTCCAAGGTCCATGCACAGCAGCAGCTGAACCAGAAATCAATGTGTATGCCCACTAATTGATGTGCATGGATTCTCCAGTGGCTGTGCAGAGTTAGAGATTCAGGAATTTGGGTTCAAGAAAGGCATGGTTTAATTAGTTGAATCTTTCTGCAACAGATTTGTAGATACAGTTTTACTCATGAGGACTGACCTCTAGGTCAGTATTCTTGTGTGCTTCATTTATTCAAAATAGACAGCTTGGAAGAGGTTAAATTTTTGTACTTAGACTTCATCAGAACATTTATCTGACTTGACAGACTGAGAGAAATGTTCTACTTTTTTTACTTTTTTTAATATTTACCAACTACAATGTTGTGGATGAAAAACTTTTTACTCCAGCTTTCTGTCTTTATTTTCACATAGACTGTGACGTTTATTGGAATACACTCGCACAGGCTAGGAATAGACCTTGTGCATAGAGAGCTGTAAGAGCATGGAATTCTTTGCTGCAAGAATTGAATGGGGAACTTTGAAGCAGAGAAAAATAAAGGACTATGGGCGAGACAGGAGCAGTGGGTTTTATTTTGATTGTCATCCAGGCTGATGGATCCCCAGTTCTCCAGAATCTTTTCCACAAAAACATTGCTTGTGTGTGAACCTAAATGCTGGCTTGTGATAAGCTATTCACCAAAGAGGACATCACTGCTAAACTGACTCTCCTCACATGACTTCCATGCATTCACACTTTTGACAAATAGGTGGGGGCCAACAATGCATCTCCTATTTTTCATCTGTATTTTGTAACGCAGTGATGTTTTTGAAGATATCAAATCAGATTCCACATGTACTCTAGCAATATCCTGCTGGAATTCACTTTTTCATTTGCTATGCAGTTTACCCAGTACTGAATATTTGATGAGCACACCATTTTGCCAAATCAATCCATTGTCTTGAACTAACACTGCAAACTCTGAACCCTAGTCATCAATCACATCTGCCTACTTGACTGCTTTCTGAGGCAAAACTGAATTAATTGCAAACTTTGTGCTCTACTTAACCCTGAGCTCAGCTTCTGACCAAATATTATTTCTTAATTTGTTCTTTGGATAAAGGTTTCTCAGGTATGGCCACACCCTAATTACACTTTCAAAGGTGGTGAAGATCTACCAACAAGTCTGTTTCACCTTCATAAAATCTCTGCCTCAGCTCATCCACTAGTGAAACCATCATCCATGAATCTGGTAATTCCAGAATCAACAAGCTGAATTTAACCAAATTTAAGTTTCAGTGAGGACTTCTGTCAATGAGCTCTAGCTCATTATGTCACACAATTCTCCAGTGATCATCTCATTATATATGTACCACACCTCTATAGTGCTGCTATTGTGCAGTCGCTAGCAGTGGAGGTAATCGCTGTTGTCAGAACTTTCTAGGATTCATGCCACTGGCATCAAATTTAAAGCCCAGCTGTACATGAGGTCAATTGCTGCCAGTACATGTCGTAGAAGGGAAGCAAAAAAGAAATGTTTTAAAGGTATTTAGATTACAGGGATGACACTTCATTACAAATATAATCTTACATTCATAAATATATTGCCATCATCAACTGTCGTTGCAACTGCAGCTACCGAAATGAAACTACACAGGCTACCTCTCCTTAGTGGCAGAATATATTAGAACCTCATGTAAGGGTTTCCCCAATGTCCAGTATGGCATAACAAGTTGTCATTGTTCAACGTGGGAGCATCACCACAGTGCAAAGCCTTCAAACAGTTGAAAATGTTAACAACAGGAAAAGCAAAGAACAATTGAACAAAAGAGCTACACTTGCTTCTAGGAACAAGCAGGGACTGCTTGCCTTTCAAGCAACAACAAATTTAACAGTCAATGAATGATCACTTCACCTAATTTATATCTGTTGAAGAGAGGTATCAATTAAACCTTGTCTGACTTATTACACCCAATGTTGCACTGCTCTGTCATGTTGAAGGTGATGGTCCCCATGCTCAATGTCCTCTGCTTCTTCCTTGGAAGACTGCTGCTGCTCTCCAAGCTCTTTAGAAATTATCACATCCCTTCTTTGCCTGTTCCAGTTATGCAGAGTGCAGCATGCAAGACTTATGCAGCGCAGATTGCCTGGACTGTCCTGCAAGGTTCCCTGTGACTGATATAAGTATCAGAATCTCATCTTCAGGAGGCTTATTGTCTGCTCCATGATGCATTACTGGAAGATTGGACTGCACTATATCTAATTCCATCTGAATCAGGAAGTTGAGTAATGGAGTCATCAGCCCTGGTATCGCAGTAAGCATCCTTGTTAAGACATCTGACCCTTGAGACTAAGCAGGAACCTGAGAGTTCTTAAGAATATAGGCATCATGTTCTAAGATTTGGTACCAAAGATTACAAAAAAACTTGTATATCCATGGAATGGAATCCTTTTCTATGGATGGAGTCTGCTGCGATAAGATATATCTCAACCCAGTGTGTGTACGGTGCATGCTGCACCTGGGAGAAGCAAGCACT